TCGCATACATCGAACGATCCGTATGCGACCTGTAGACGTGACACCTGAGGCTGCCGAGAGACTCTTGTCAACGGTGTACAGTCGAACGAAGATAGCCGCTCCAGGAAGATTCAAGATCGATGACGCGGTACGCGTGAGCAAATTCAAAACGATATTCGAAAAAGGCTACACACCCAACTGGACTACAGAAATATTTCGCATCGCCAAAGTACAACAGACTAATCCTGTGACGTATCTATTGAACGATTATCGCGGACAACCAATAGCTGGGGGTTCTACGTAGAAAGGGTAATGAGGTATACGTAAAGTGGCTAGGAATGGATAATTCACACAATTCATGAATACGCAAAACAGATGTATTATAACAAAAGCTTTTATTCATGTATGCAATAAAGGTATAAATTTGTATATATATATGTATTATTATTATGGCACCCTGTAATGTCCCCAAGGCAAAGTATCGTAGGATTCGAGCATGACGTATCGCTTGTCGTCGTGAGGACTGAGAGCGAGTTTCGTTTCGGAAACGGTGTACACCTCATGCAGTCTCGACCGCACGCAGAATTGCGATCTCGACTGCTCCGTCATATCGCGCAAACATTGCATGAAATCGTTGAACGTTATCGTTCTCTCGACTACGTTTCTCTTTACACCCTTTATCTTTTTCGTGTCGTTCATTCCGAGCACTCTCACGGCATATATCTTCGCTCTCAAACCTACGAATTCTATCATAATCGCGCCACGATTCTCATCCTTCATCAGACCCGGAACGCTCTTGTTCGCGCGCGGCATACCGTACGCGTTGTTCTCGGCATAGTCGCTCGTGTCGAATCTTTCAATGGAGCGTTTCATATCCTCATAAATATCGTCACATTCGACGAAATAAATCAGACTGTCCGTATCTGTGTACATTACCTTACACACACCGCGATACAAGGGCACCATATAATCATAATGAAAATCGTATAAACGCGTTTTTGATATCTCCAGAATGGCCATGCCAACGTAGATTGGTTTCACGAGCTTTACCTCCAGTTTCCGTAACTCAACGGCCATCAGATCCTCGGAGAAAATGCTTCTACTGTGGAAATTCGGTCTTGAAATTAGCGCTTCCGCTCCGTACCTTCCCTCCCAACGTGTCACAAGACGCACGTCAACGTGCTCGCGCACGTTTTCCATTGTCTTCCCGTAAACCGCGTTGTTCATAAGCTTATACATATTTCTCTCGAATTCGTTATTCGCACGAGTTCTAAACATTGTATTCAGTTCGATGTATCCACGCAGCCATGGTGATTGTACAAATTGTAAAACGCGATGAATTTTAAGTATACGCATCCCATAACGCACACATTGCTGCAAATTGCGATAATGTATGACATAGCGCGACTTATCGTGAAGCGTCGCTAGAAACTTATCGGTAACCTTGCCGGGGGGTGAGGCGCGCGTTGGGCAGAACGGGAGGTCCGCGTGGGCGTCGTGGAGCTCGCGCGGATACGCAAGATCCACCTCCATAATGTAGCCGATATCGGAATCCGCGGTCACCGACATTACGTCTAGACTCTCCACGTCGCTGACCCATTGAAATTGCGCGTACGGCAATAATTCACACATAGCCCATCCGTAGAGATTATTCACGTCATAGTACATGAGATATGTCGACGGTTTCAACGGATCGTATGACGAAAGATACTTATTATTAGCTCGCGCGTATCTGTTGGAACACTGACTCAGACCACCGCGTACACCACGTTCAACAAAGAGAAGCATATCGATATCGGTCAACAATTCGAATTGAACACCCGTATGTTTCAACATAGCATCCCACGTGTACCCCGGTAACGTGTAATAATGAGCGGGATCCAAATCGTAACTCCGTATGCATTTGTCGCGAAAATTCTCAAAAACGTCTGCCAACAACAGAACGTCTGTTTCAAATATAAATCGCTATACTCGCCAAGATTACTAATGCGGAAACGTTGCCACACATTGACTGCGTGCTCATAATTGTTATCGCTAACGCTCTCACCGCTCAGCGAACTGTAGAAAGCCTCACGGGATGGTAACTCGGTTTCGAGCAACCGATCGATGCTATCAACATACTCGTACGGGAACGTACCCTTGCGCGTGAGCAATTCGAAATCATTGTCATCGAGATTCGAGAACGCCGACCGTGTTATAAGCAGTTCGTTCTTGTCTAGGTACCCAATTTCGCGAGACTGGCCCCTAAGAATTTAAACGAATCTACAAATCGCAGTTTCACACAAGTGTCCCCCTTCCTCAGCAACGTATTCTGAACAACTTTCGTGAACGAGATGTACGTTTCTTTGGTCAACGGTAACAATTCTACTCTACCCTCGAAACTGTTAGCGATCTCTTTGATGATAAAGTGCGCATCGTAACCTGAGAGGTTGTGAAAAAACACAGGAATTACGAAAGACGTTTTGAAATTTAGATTACAACGCGAATGAGCCGGACCCCTGTAACGCCCGGTTATGTGACAATGATCCCCCATGTCAAACGGTTTTCCACATATATGACAAAGAGTCGCGTTCCAAAAGCTACGCTCCTCGTCTGACGTGAGCTGCGTCATAGACACGATCGCGTCGAGAGTCTGCTTCGCGCGATGCGCGAGAGCGTTCAATTCTCGCGCGAACCATGATATGCAGTCTTCACCACGATAAAATTTGTACGTCGACGCATTCTCGTCTAGTACACATCGCAAGTAGTAGCCAACGCTGAATGCTGTATGATGTTGATAAGTAAATCCGTTTCGTGGTATTAATTCGCTCTCCTCCTCCTCCTTCTCTAACGCGCACTCCAAATCGGCGTATATCACGTAGGGAAGTCTCTTTTCGTTCGTAGTTGCGAAAGTCGAGCCATTTGTCATCCTCGTTCGGAAGAACGATCGCGCATTCGTTCATCCTTTCGCAATCCACGATGTGAATGGACAATCGTTCCCTCGAGTGGAAGTAATGCAGACATCTGGAATGCATTATACAATGTAAACAATTCACATTTCTCTCTCTTTCTCGAGGTACTTACCGATCGCAAATATACTTCTTGTGCTTTCCTCCGGATAACTGACTTCCAACCAATCGCGATAAATTCTTTATCCACGCGAAATGACCCTCGTGAACGTAGTTTCGCGTATCCGACAGATACAGCAAATTTATATGAATATCTCTTTTATGATCAGTGAGACGCAGAGGAACGATCGTTCCATCCTTTTTTTCATCCTTCATGGTAAACACATTGATGGACATATCGTTTAAACGTTCGAATCTTGAAATTCGTTTCAGGGTCATAGGAAAGTCTATTCCGTCGAGCTTTAACACCGTTTGATAATCGGGATACTGACTGCATCTCGAGGTATGCTTCTCAGCGGGATACAAAGCCGCAACCACAGCCCACGCGAAACATGCGTTATCCAGTGATTTCACGTTCACGACCGCTCTCTTCAACTTTATCACTGGCGGCATATCAATCCAACATCCAACACGCATAGGATTACATCTGTTAACATTAATCATTAAATTCATTATGCGTGACAACGCCCACCCACTGTCACGCTCCTGAAACTCCTCCAATGCAGCCAAAGTCGTATCGATCACTGTCTTGTTGTACCATTCAAGCAGATCTGTGGTAGGAAAGAGCTGTCGGTTTTTCGTGGTGATGCTCTTTACAGCAGTCTTTTTATTCGCAAGGAATTCCCCATTGAACACGGTGTTGATTTTCACACAAGCGTGTCTATTCATATTCTCGCGTACCTTCTCAATCACCATGTCTCTAGCGTCCTCGAGAAATCGCCTAGGCTCAATGTAGCGGGAATTGATTACCGCACCTGTGAGTACCCGCCTCCGAAAAGCTGTCTCAATCTCCAACCATGTAAATCCATTGTGACCTGCACCAGTATGAACTAAACGACCTCGCAGTTCGGTCCTCGCTCCCTCTAGACGCGCGATCAAAGCAACAAGAGAATTGACCGTTCCAGTTGGGTTCTCACACCTTTGACACTCTTCCCTCAACGATTCAATACACTCCTCACATCGACGCTCCCACGAGTGATATTCGTCCTCGTTGAACACAGTCGCAGCGTTCTCGATCAACTCGCTTGCCTTCAGATTCATTTTC